ACCAGTGTACATTTTGCAACCGCGTAGGACACACAGGGAGGTGTCCGGGGCCCCTCTAAACAAGCCCGCCACCGTTCGCTCCGTAATAATCGAGACGGAACAATTTATTTCTCCAGCTGCCACGATTAGTTCCACTCGGCAGCCTTTTGGTTTCTCTCGCGATAGGCTTAGGTAAAGGGCGTGGACAACAACGACTGCCGCGAAAATGGCGCTCGTAGTCTCCAGCGTGGTGTGTCTGACAATATTAACGCACAGGCTGGTGTTAGAATTCTGCGTTCTTTACAGAGAGTACCACAGTGACAAAAATTCACCTCTTCCTTCAACGTACCTTCTAGATCACCGACGGCGATCGAGGGAACAAAAGGGGATCTTAAAACTGGAGGGGACCGTACATCGGCGGTAATGTTCGTGGAAACCATCGAATTGGCCCGCAGTGTCCGTGGATAATCTGTGGTACGTGGGCGGATACGCAAGAATCCAGTAAACGAATGGTCCCTCTCTGTCTCGATCGAATGGATCGACGGTGGTACCTACGGACCCAATCACGCAGATGATGACGCGCCGCAGCGGCTACCGCCAGCAGCTGCCTGGTTCCCGTCGATCGGATCATCGGCCCTCGGGTGTTCAGCCGCGTCAGCGCACGCCTTGTGTATCCATCGTCGCGCTTGGAATCTCGATCACGAGAAATTCCACGACGCCCGGTTGTCGCGAGCCACGCGAGAATCCAGCGATCGCGATGCAAAAACCAATGTCGCTTGCATATCGTATACATACGTACCTACCGTATTCGTTACACGCTCCGACCCACGGCCATTCTAGAACAATGTTTTTTTATCGTCTGCCGAGTGACATCTCGGTGAAGGGATTTCTACGGGACGGTGATATCACATGGACGGAGGGGAATTAGGTAAATGGTTTGTGGACGTGTCTGTTGCGAAACTGAATTTACGATTCGATCGTTGGTACGCTTCTCCTGGACATGGCACAAACGGGGTAAACTGTTAATAACGTGGACCGAAATAAATGTATTTTATCGTGATACTGTTCCTAACAATGGACCACCGCGTACACTGAATCGCGGATTGGGATGAACCTTTATGGGTTTATAGAGCGATTCAGAGCAAGAAGAACGGTATGTAATGTTCCTCTTTGAGAATTCAATGTTTCTTCGTGTAATTTAACGTGCGTCCGGTCATCATCGGTGACCACCGTGAGCAGTCAACTATCATTAAGGTTTCTCGATCGGTATCGTCGATATTATAATGTTGATTCCTACGATTACGAAAGAATTAGGTGATCGACCTCAGTCGATGGGTCTGGGTCAACGGAAGCTCCTAATTTCCAAGGCTGTCGCAAAGACTTCTATAAACCAATGTCATCGGAGGGGCTCGCGGTTCTTTCCACGGTTTATTATCGAGGTTTCGCGGGGCTAAGAACACTGATTCAGTACGGAGGAACAGATAATTCAGTAACGACCGTTGCAAATAAAAATTATGGGCCTCGGTTTCCGTGCGTGTTTCCTCGCGTGAAGAAGCGTAGAAAGCGGGACGGCGACATTATATAAAACTTCTTATACGCTTCGATCGAGCTCTGATGAATTAAATAATGTTGGTATTTACATACTCTGAAGAACAGTTTGTTATTCTCGTGATATTAAAGGGGGGATCAGGTAGCGCAACGGTGGACCGTCCGACCGTTTTCCGACATCTTCTACTAGTGGCCTATACGTGAGAGGTCTAAAAGTGAAAGTGTCAAGAAGTCGTTCAAAAAATAGAAAAAGTTAATACCTAATAATTACCCGTGTGCGAGTAAAGAGATAAATAACACATACTTTTATTCTATAAAAGTAAAACAAATTTATTCTTATTGTTTTAGTTTGTTATTTATTTCTTGACAAGTACACACACGACCGCCACTAATCTGTTCGTAAATTGGTCGTCACTTACCCCGTGACTCGTGGAATCGAGGTGTGCAACCTACAGAACATTGATACTTCGGTCTCTTCTTCGGTTCCAGGGTTATCAATTAGTGATCGGAGTTACTCATCGAACCACAATCGTTCCAGAGACGGGATGGAATCTAGTCGTCGAAGATCTCGGAGGGGGGGCAAAGAAGCGAAGTATCTCCCTTCATCCATTATTCACCGTTCATCCCGTTTACTTCATTCACCTCGTTTACTTCGGCTGGTAACAACACAACACACAGCGGGCAAAAACGAGGAATGCGAAGATAGAAAATAACCCTCCACCGCACAGAGGCAGCACAAGGAACGTCATTCCCCAGGAAAAATATTTTTATTTTTCGCTCGCGGGGGCATTCTTCCCCTCGAGTCTAAGTAAATAGCCGTATGAAAGCCCCTCCGATGTGGTCGTTAAACGGGGTACAGGACGATCCAACGTTCGCAGACCAGGAAACGGTCCCTCTGGAGTCTGCTTTTTTTCATCGGAAGCATGGCAACAGGAGTATAAGGGTGAGTCAATAAGAGCTACTATCTAAAATAACTTAATCAGCAAACGTTTTAATGAATTATGTTGCATTCGAAGGGACGCATTGAATGGATACAATTTGATTTTTTTATCTCAACTTTTTTGAGATATCAAGGTGACATTGAGTTATGTCTAGGTCAATGCATCTTTTTTTTTAATTTCCGTGTAGTAATTCGCAAATAGTACCGCATAAAGTTGGTATCAGCGAAAAGCTTGTCTCTATGCAGTTGGCATACTCACTCTGTAGTTCCGAATGAAGAAATGAAGAACCGAGAATCATTCTAAGATTACACAAACCTTCGTTTCAAAATACTTTTTCTTTTTTTTTCACAAACAACGTGTTTGCTCACGATGAATAACGAACTAGTGGTTACAGTAACATCGTTTTTCTTAAGTTTAAACGTCACTTAAAGAAGATTCGTACTACTGATCGTCAAGAAATGTTCCGGATATTGTTGTTGAAGGTGATAAAATAGGCGTCTACTCTGCTAGGCAAATTCAGTTTATCGATTAAATTGTCGACTTTATTCTGAACCGATTATTATGATACTTGAAAGAAGAAAGAAATTCCTATATTTACTTTTGTCTTCCATGGATCACTTCAGAAAATGTCATTTTCCATAGAAACCTATCGAACTATTAATAACACTCGCAGGTTTTTCGTTCGATCTTGCACTGGCACATTGTATGCTACCAACGGACCTTGTACCCGCGGACCGCGACTCTTGTATCGTCCTGTACACACAATATGTATATCCCCCGTAAATCCGTGGTGCAGCAGGTGCGGAAAAGGGGATTTACACAGAACCACCGATACCGGGACGATTATTATAATCCCTCTCGGCGCAGGAAGCTAAAAAAAATCCTTGTACGGGGCACGGTTTGCCCAATGAACGTTCAAACCTTCGTTACTTGGTGATCATTTCGATACTTTATTGCTAATATAAATACCATTCTCTTACAAATCGAGTGGGCTTGATGACGGGTTTTCCATAAAATCACGCATAAAAAATATCGTCTAGCCGAGCCTAGCGGGGGCGGAACAATGCTACAGGCGTTTCTGGTGAATCGTAATGCGTCGAGAGAAAGAGTTGCGACAAAGATAAAAGAGAGACAGAAGAAGGGGGGAAAGTTGAAGAGAATGAAAAGAACGGTATCGGAGAACTTCTGTAATCGCGAAAGTGCTCTCACGTCGGGCGCTCTCGATCATCGGTAGTCGTCGATCCATTCGAGATAATATGTTTCGGGGCTGTGCTCCACCTTCCGTCCTCGATCTGCTCGACGATCGATTTCCTGTTTTCATCGTGTCGTTTCGTTGTCGAGACTTAATTACGATTCTACGGTGAGAATTAAAACTAAAAACCGTGTTCCACGGTCTGCGTACAGTAATTCACCGATGAGTGTTCGGAAAGGACTTCTTTCGTTCGCTGTTCTCTTTCCTGTGACCGTCTCTGCCGGAAGCATACAAAGGCAAGCTGTCCAGGCAGCCCAGCAGCCTCTGACAAAAAAAAAAACACAATGTACCAGGTGCTGAAAGCATTTCCCTTAGTCGATGAATGTTTCTTGAAGCGAAAACCAAGTTCCGAACACTCATCGGTAAATTACTGTACATGTGTGTGTTCTTGACAGTTTGTTCGTTTCGAGCTGCGTTTGTTTCCTATTTCCGTTCACCGAGCCACTCTCGATCCTCCGGAAATGTCTCTTGTAAAGAAAAATGTGTCTTCGTCGGAGGCTCGTTTCATCTCGCGATATGCTCGTCGACTAAATTATATCTTCATCGAATTGTCCCCACAATTTTCGGTTCGGCCGTGCTCTCTCAACTTCCGATTTTAAGTACCTGACGAGCGACGGCGTGAATTAATTCATTTTTTTTTTTTTGTACAAATTGCCTAAACGCGGCAGAAAAATTCCCCCCGTCGAATTTCACACTCGGCGGAGAATTTCCCTCCTCGATCGATTAATCCCCGTTAAATTACATACCTTCGCAAGATAAGCCATTTTTACAGTTTTACACAAGATTATCGGGTATCACGCATGCCCCGCGAAAATTCGAAAGATTAAAAAATTGTGTATAGCCGATATCGTCGATCATGTTTCGCTCGGAAATTTCTATGATACGCTATATAAAAAGATCCTCGTGGAGATTATTCTTTGCTTTTTTCTTTACGCCTCGGAATCGTTCAGCCAGGCTACACACACACGCGCACACGCACGCACACACACACACACACACACACACACACACACGCGCGCGCGCATACCGAAGAATTTACCTAAACGAGCGACAATTTCGATCGACGAGAACTGGACACTGCGCGTACGTCTCCCCGAAAGGTCTCTGCATTGCACTATTTGAGCGTAGAATCATCGAGACAATCAGAGAAAACAATTATCCTCTCTATGTACCACTGTACCACGAATACGACGCGTGAGAAAACCCAAAAGTTTTGATCGATCCCAAAAGAGAACAAAATTATTCACTGGCGAACCGCACAATCATCTCGAAATTCTTCAAGATACTCAGCCACGAGGATGTCCCGGCTTGCTCGAATGTTCTAACCGCCCCGTTTCGAGAACCCAATCGAACTTTGTGGTAGCTGTTCCTCCGGGGAAACAGTGCCAAAATTGTCCTCCTCCGCCTATATATAGCTAGATGATTCGTGAGTGATATTGTTTCTCCTAGCATGTGTAGATGATCGGTGAGTTGATCGTCAGGGAGTATCCAGGACACAACGGGGACAATAATCGAATATACGTGACGATCCCCGGGAGGGGTTCAAGAGTCTCCCTCGAGGATTACACGAAGGAATTCACCATCCGAAAGCTAGGAAGATCCTCTTGGTTGTTGCTGTTGTTGCTGCTGCGTGTAGAATCCAAACGGTCTGGACTCGCCTGTGGACGAGGGAAACGACGAGCTGGCGGTGTTCAGGGAAGATGTGGTGGACACTGAGGGACCGGATGATCCCATAGGACGTTGACCAGGTGATTTCTGTTGGTTCACGGTGGCGATCGTTTGCTGGGATCTCAGTGGCACTGGAAGAGGTCGCTGGACCTTTCTGCCGTGATGATGGCCAGCGGTGCGGTATCCTTGATGGCCTGGGCCGGTCGGCCTGAGACGGGGTCGTCCAGGTCCTCTTCGTATAGTTGGCACACCTCCTCGGCCGGATACGGAACCCAGAGTACCGACCGGGCCCAGTGGACCCACTGTGCTCGGACCGTCACCCTCTGCTGGACCAGACGATGTCCCTTGAACTCCTATAAAATTCGATACGATTCCGATATACAGGGTGTTCACGCTGTTACGAGCCAGCGTTTTTCTTGCAAATAGTAAATGTTAAAAAAGAATGGAAGAGGAAAAAGTAGCAGGGGAGACCGGGGTTGAAGGTAACAAAGATAGGTTGTAATGTTATGTTGTGCTAATTCAAAAAACACACATTACGTTACGTCGAGTACCGATTACTTTTGTTAATAAAAACGACATTATTTCATCGTGAAAGTTTCGAACCGGTCCCGAGTTTCAAACTCTCATGGAGCCTTTACTGTACGTCTACGGAACCCTTCAGGCGAGCACGTAAAAAATCGTCCCCGTATATCCGCGACGGAATCGTACAACCAAAAAAAACGGGGAAGATTACGCTTGTGACCCCGGGGAGGAAGAGAATTTCGCGCGGAAAAGGAGGAAGAAATGGGGAGGGGGGTCCAGGACCCAGGCAACTTTTCACGATTATAATGACAGATGCAGGGTACCAAAGGCCCTCCTCCATTTAACGTGGAGAGTGGTCTGACCAGTTAATCGGTTATTCGCCGGTATATACAGAGAGGAACGAAGACAAACTCCTGGAGAGGATCGTGCCATGGCATCTATTCGACTGATCGTAAGCGCAGGAGCCGACGTAAGACGACGGGGGAAGGGGGGGGGGCAAGGGGGAACGCGAAAGAAGAATTTAATGAGATAGCGAAGGAGAAAAATTGCAGATGGAGAGAGAAGGGATGGGGGAAGGGGAGTGACAGGGTCGAAGGTCAGTAGCCGAGCAAGGATGTACGAGAGGACGTTACCCGTCTCCTTTCCACTCCAGGGTCTCTTCCTTCCTTCTTCTCATCCTTCCTTTTCGTTCATTCTTTTCTCCCCACCCACCTCAACCCCTCTGTGTCTCGTCGTTCCGAGTCGTCGACATTCCTTGGCACGTTCTCGAACCTTTCAGGAGCCACTCTCCTCCAGCCACCTTCGGCTGGAAGGAACCTCGAGAGAAAGGCAGACAAAAGGGGGTGGGAAAAGCTTTGATAGGAGAGAAAGAGAAGGAATCTCTCGTTTCTTTGGGAAGTATGTCGTTATGCGCTTTCGAAATTCTACGCGCGACTCCGGAGATTTATACGGGGTTGGGAGGGGGAGGGATTCCGCGGAGGATTCTCGAGGAAGACTCCGAGAGTGAGAGGCAGTAGAGAATAAAAAGGACCCTCCGTGTGATCGCGACCGTTGTTGGTCTGTTCGCCTCGAGAATTTTTTTCTTTTTTTTTTGGACAACGCTTGGAAGACGCGCCCGGAGGCAATTTTATAGATAAGGAACTTGGCGATGGAGGAACTTTGGTGAATACGCTGAGGGTGGGAGGGGGGTACTTCTGGGATTCGCTCCTTTCGATCAGCCACTCCACGTTATATATTCTCGAGACCTCCTTGACGAACAAACGTCGTTTGGCACGTCGTTAACGGGACGAAATCACCGTCCTCTGACCCCCCCATCCAGTCAACTTCTATCTTAGCTTTCAAGAAATTTTCATTATCCGCGAACGCGGTGTCGCGGGTAGTGGCTGTAAATCGTTCGGGGGAGGACTCCACACCGTTTCTCGACACACGCGTGCGAATAAAACGTGTTAGAGGGTGTCCCGAGGCTCCGGCGAAGACCCTCAATCTCTATCTCTGCCGTTATTACGATAACAAATCAAGCGATTCATTATTCTCATTGGGAGAACCAGGAGAAGATGGGGAAGGGAGGAGGGATCGTCGGAGGCCTCTGAGTCGGCACACGGCGGCTGTGGCGATGGCAGTCACAGGACCAAGAACTATTTCATTGTCCCCCGCTTTAGAATGCAATAATTTTCTCGAGGATGGGCCCCGAGGCGCGGAGGAGGGACATGAATCGCCTCGAAGCACCGTGAAACCCAGCCAGCCGGTGTGTCGGCTCCGACGAAGGACGCAAGGAGAGGGGGAAGAAGAGTTCGGCTGTTGCACGGGCTGAGATACAGCAGGATAATGCGCGCAGGAAAGATAGAACGGACACGGGGCAAGGATATTGCGCCAGCCAGCCGGACGGTCGGCATTACCGTTCCAGCTACACCTGGAAACCTTCTTGTAGAAGGGAGCGCCCCCTCTTTATGTGTCAGGGCACAACCGCGGATCGGCCCGAGTCTATCTACCGGCGGGAATCTCACCCACGCGCAGTTATCGCGGGAAACGTAAGACGAAAGGAGAGAGGTAGTGGATCTGTGGGTAAAATATGTATACACAGTAGGCATTCGTTTATTGCATATTTGGGGGCCTGTAGAAAGTGAAATTTCCAGGAATGGTGCAATAAACACGGAAGGCCAATCAAACGTGCGCGCTTCTTCCGTCAATCGTCCGTTCACTTGTTCGACATAGCTGCGTATAGCGTGAAAGTATTAATATCATCTATTTTTTCACATCTTAGAGTATATAATAGTTACTTCTAGTTTCCTATAGATGGAATCGCAGAAATTTAAATGTGCAATTAAAAGCTTATCGGTAAAATAAGACATTATTGATGCCTTCTCTATTTCAATTTGATGGAATTCTAGCGTCGTGCAGTGTATACAAATGCAATAGAAACTTATAATGAAAGTAAGTTATAATGAAAGTATAAACGTTTGTCGAATGGCAACGAATGACAAATGTCATTAGACGGTTTCAAAATATTAAAATGTTCTTACGAATTATTTATGTGTCCTGTAATGTGTAAAATACAGAAGAATACAAGAAAATACTTCTTTGGTAAATTTTCAATAATTTGAGAATTAAAGGGTTTACCAGCTTCACTGAATGTTCGAGCATCGTTTCGTGATCCTTCGAGTTTGTCTATTTCGATCGAATTCAAGCGAAACATGAAAGCTCCCCCGGTTGACCCCGCGATGTCAGGGATCGTCGCGGAACTAGAAAGTGTGCTTACTGCCGGTGTAGAACTCTGATCCTCGAGCAGTCTCGAACCGTCTCGGAATTACTTTCCGTTACGCGACACGGGAAATACGGTGGTCGAGCCAATGCGGGTGTAGCAAGATGACACGGTGCGGTACGATAAGGTACGGCACGAAACCAGACCGAAAACCAAACCCCTCCCCCACCCCCTTAGACATAACCATCCTGCTGGAACCCACCCACGGCCAGGGTTAAGCACCGAGAATTATGCAAAACTACCAGGGGTCAAATAGGCATCGATACCGAGGAATCAACTATTTTAACCGTTCATGTATTCTCCGTGCTTCTGGTCAATTTCGAGGTAATCTGGTTTTAATGCTGTGCAGCCCCGAAATATCGAGGGAAACGGAGATTAAGTGATTTTTTTTCAGGACGACGTGAATCGAAAGATTGGTCTTCAAAATTCATTAGAGTTTAACCATCTTGTGTACTACTGTTGTTGCTTATCTTCTGTCAATTTGACCTCGAACTTGGACTTTACATCTTTTTTAATTGTATACACTAGCCAGGCCAGAAGTATAGGAACAGGTCTGATAGTTATAGAAAGAGAAACATATTACAGTAAATCTCCTCGATTAAAGATTAAATTTGTGAGTCACCGTACATGGTACGTAGATACACGACTTTACACACCTGATAAGAAGAAACCCACCACAACAGGGAGAAGGACGACAATCACATGTACAGATAAACGAGTGATCGAATATGAAGAATCACCAAAGAAAATACGAGCGCAGAGACATCGATGTTTCTGAAGGAACGCACCGCACAGTATGAATAATAATAACAGAAAAGGAACCATGAAGAGACGAAATGATCTTAGTTCGCCAGAAAGTGAACATCGTCGTGAGGATGGAAATTCGGAAAGGAATCGAGGGGAGGGCAGAATGATAGCGAAGAGAGGCGAAAAAGGTAACGAGACGTGAGATAGTCGAGAGAGGGGGCGAAGGGGGAGGTAGGATTGGGAGGGGAAAGAAGGAGGGGGAGAAAGAGAGGTGGGGTGCACGAGTTCCAAAAACCTAAGAAGAGCATCATCGATCGCAGCTGTCGCCTTCGTTCCGCACCTGCTATTGTCCGCCTCGCCTTCCCGGTCGAGAACGACAACCCGGGGAGCGTGCGAGAAGGAGGAGAGGCAGAGTAAAAGGGAGGGGAGAGAACGACCCCCTTTTCTTTCCTCCTTTCCGTATATGTGGCACGAAGAGATCTCTGTACCCTGGCCGCGCACGAGGTGCGCGCACAAACTTAGCTATGGCGATAAATTTGAATTGTATATCGATATTTGGTATCGACACCAGTGATGGCTGACAATGAGATACAGTACATCGATATTTCGAATATCGATATCTTTCAATTCAAATATCGACATTTCACATGGATATTTTATGTGACGATATATATTCCAGTATCGACACTCAACCCATAAATATCGGAATTTCGATACAATCACAGCATTTGCCGTAACGTAACAAATCGTAAAGAAAATCATCAAACATTATAAGAAGCTCGCAATTGGTCTGTTTTTCTTGCGACCTTTTACACGATACGGTAAATGAAACGACAGTATAAAAATTTCGATATTTATGGGTTAAGTATTGATACTGGAATATGTATCGCCACATAAAATATCGATATTTGAATTGAAAAGTATCGGTATTCAAAATACCGATACTGTATCGTCCATCATTAGCGTAAACTCTTGGTCCACGTGTCGTCGATGTCGTCGTTGCGTGAGGACCAGCTACTCGCTTTCATGCCAGTGGCTCGCTTTCGTTGATCCCCCTGCCTCCCAATTCTGTTCGTTCTTTCTTCTTCTCGTTCCGGTTCCCGTGCCCCCCCCCCTCCCCGTTTTGCCTTTTTGCCCAGGACGTCATTACGCGGCCAACAATGCGTTATGCAACCGCGGGGATCGTGGACAGAGCGTGGTCTAATACTAATGTATCGAACCTAACTGAAGAGGGAACACATTTATGGAAATTGTTAAAAAATTATGGTACCTACTGGTTCCATGGGAATCCAATACATTATGGACGAATCGAGTTATGAAACTAGCATATCGAGTATTCCATTGAGCTCTACACGTTTGTGAAATAGGGATAACTTGATCTTTGTTAACGGTTAAAAGCCCGCCAGTCATGTCGGGTACATGTATGATACCCTAACCGTTCGTCACTGAATCGGGCACAGAAAAATGTGTCAACAAAAATGGTCTATTGTCATCGAGAGACCACAAAGACAAATCCAGTCCCAGAAGACGACATATACTAGTGAGGTACGGTCGAGGGGTACAGACGAACTGCTAGACGAAACAGTGACTCACGGGGGTGGATAACACTCGCGTATCACCCCCTCCAACCCCTTAGAAAGGTCGCCAACTGTTCTCCGTAAGTTGCACTTGTGGCGGCCGCCACATGTAGGCCGCGAGGGAATTTCGACGGATCCACGTCAGTTAAGGGGTACCCATAGTATAGAACCTAGGGGGGTGTACTTTCTTCTTCCACGTCGAAATCCCATGAGAACCAAAGCAAGCAGTGCAACGGGAGCAAAATAGGGGGTAAGAGGGGGAGGGGTGCAAGGTCTATGAAAGAGTCAGTCGGGATTAACGGTGTATCGATTCGAGGGTGCGTCACGAAAAGTCATTTTCGGTCGTCATTCCGAATTCGAGCCCCCTCCCCCTCCGAAATTTCCGACTAATCCGCTCAGAACACCCTCCCCCTTTCTGATCCTCATTCCTCGTCTCGTTTCGAAACGAGAATTTCAAGTGAGAATTTTCGAATCCCAGGCAGATGGAAGGCTCAATGGAGAGAACGTTGACTGAACACGGAGGGTGAACGAAAAACGTTCTTTTTTTGACTATGTTCGTTGGCGCTTGTAAGGTCTGATTAATTGGATCGTGAAACGGGATAATGGAGGAGTAAACGATAAGAGGAAAATGTTGTTTTTCTGTCATTTTGCATGACTAGGTATCGAACGTTGAAAAGAACGTCGCCGTTACGTGTATAACAACGTTTTCGGTTGCTATAATGAACGTTTCTTCCCAAAAAATTACTAAATAATTACTTGCTATTTTGAGAGTAATCAAGAAATCACGTATGAATTGAAAAAAAACTAAACGTAGACATATATACCAGTATCGCTAAAGAGATTCAGTGATGAGGAAATGGGTCCGTGACGGGATGTATACCATGATTAAACAGATCGGGAGATCGAGGTCACTGTCTCCCTTTGTATGTATAAAAAGTTTGGGTCTGATACTTGAACATTATCCAGTCTGAAGTTTCAAATTGGAGAAAATTGTTCAACTTAAGTGCTCACCGTGTTGAAGTGTCTGATCACCGGTGACACTGCTAGTAGGCGACATGGACGCCGGCGATTGAGGATCGCTTCCGCCCCCCTTCGATGACGGTGGATGAAGCAGAAGAAGACCCCTGCCTTTTCCTCCGACTGGCCCACCTCTGCGGGAACCACGTGGTCTGCCCCGTTTACTGGTACCGCGAATCGTCGGCCTGATTCGTACACCACCGGTCCCGGTGCCGAATGCGATATGGTGATCCAAACGATTTACTTTGGCCGGTTGTTCGCCGAACTGGCTGACACGTAATTGTCGTGAGTCACTGGACGTTCCTCCAACCGGACCGTCCACGTCGACGACAAGACCATCGTTGCTCGTCTCATCCTATCGCATACCAAACAGTAAATTTGTCAGAGAATTGTCCAAATCTCAGGGCTGGATTGAGACGTTTAGAGGCCCTAAACACTTCAAAGATTTTGGTGCCACCATATACAAGATGTCCTCCATTGAAATCGATCCATTAGTATATTTCCAAAACTAGTGACGACAATTGAAAAATGTTTCGGACAAAAGTTAAATGGCATCAGGAGGCACACTTTCTGATGTGAGTAACTTTTGTCTATGCAGACGCGTAGAGTTCATATGGAGGGCACCTTTATTATTTTTTACTACACTACTTGAAGAAGCTACTTGTCATTCCATATATACAAATATATACGATTCCATTTTGAAAAAAAACCAAGTTAACCTTCATACGACCTCTACGTGCGCACATAGAAAAAAGTAACATCGGAATGTGTGCCCCCTGATGCTATCTAACTTTTGTACTGTATATTCGAGTGTATCGATCTAAATGGGACACCCTGTATAATTTTTAAAATGATACGTTGAAACCAGTTCCATGAGAATCTAGCAATGGAATATTTCTATGATGCCCCAGTTACCTTGAATCCTTAAGCACGTGCTTATTATTTTGCTTAATGGTTAATCCCAGCCCTGTCCAAGACTGACCGACACACCTAACCTTCCCGAGATTGTCAGAATTATCGAACAGAGGAATACAAACCTCGGACTTGACGGGGCTAGCGGGCACACTGTAATCGTCCGACGTGTCGAGTATCTGTTGATGGTTATTAACAAGATGCGCTTGAGAAGCGGTACTCGTCTGGTTGCTGTCATTCGAATTCGTCTGTACAATATCACCAATTTTATCCCCGTTCGCGTCCGCGAGACAAGGCTTCTTGGCGTCACCCTAGAAGGAAAAGAATCATCTCGGTACTTTGTAAAGGCGATCGAAGGTAATCGACGAGAAAATCTATAAAAAGAATCGGACCGTACATAATGGGGAAATGTGTGGTAGAAAATCGAATAAAAAAAAGAAGAATCAAAGAGGCTCGAATAATAATAACAAAGAACGCAAGAAAAATGATAAAGAAGAAAAGAATCGGGGACCGATATATAGCGGGTTTTAAGGGCATCGAAGGGCTCACCTTGACCGGAAGCGCGGTTAACTTCCTCTTCCGGTCCTTCTCCTTGTAATGTAGCGTCGACTCGAGCCGAGAATCCTCCGTGTGCTGCTTTCTCTCCTCGCTTCGTTGGCTGTCTGAAATACACGAACACGGGCTCGTACACGGGGACGTTCGTTACTTCTCTTCTTCTTATTATTCGTTATTAGGGCATTAGCATAACCTAACGAGAGCATAATGTAATTGCATCCATACGCACTCCCTCTACCCCTATTTCTTTCTTTCTTTCTTTTCTCTCTCTCTCTCTCTCTCTCTCTCTCTCTCTATACATATATGTATATCGCTGAATACGTTTCAACGCAAGCATGCAACCAAAATCGTCTGCCTCGGCGAACAAAAATACAGGTCGCCCGTTGCTCTCCTTCGTGTATTACCGCTTCAGTACTTTCTTTCAAACGAGTATTCAATACTGGCGTTTGCGGTCGCAGGAGGTCTTTTATTTTTGCATGACAGCGTGAAACGGAGAATTGCTGGGTACTTTTTTTCATTGAGTTGATATCTACTTTTACGTTTGTATAGTGCTGGATGGATATACAGTAGTGTACTATTAAAACATAATTAGAACACATACTAAATTTCGATTAAAACTTACAATACCGAGAAGAATAACTCACATTTAGCTTCGATTTCTTCGTCGTCCAACAAAAGTGAGACCACCTCCTTGGGCTTCAAAGTATCTGGTTTAAAGTTGCCACCGCTTATTACCATACGTTGTATCTGAAATTTTCATTCGTCGAATCCCATAAGTACAAGTTCGATTTTTCATCAACCGAAGAATCATTGTAAAACAAACCTCGCTCTTTTCTCGGGCACGTTGCAGTATTCTTTCCTCGATGGTCCCCTTGCAAATTAATCGATATACGGTAACCTGTTTCGTTTGTCCAAGCCTATGGGCTCGATCCATGGCCTGTTGATCCACCGTAGGATTCCAATCGCTATCATAAAAGATCACCTGTAAAAGAAAGAATCATTCAAGATATTATCCTCTCCGGTGGGGCTCTGGGTGAACAGAAGCCTGAAAATTCAAATATCTATGGCGTGACGTTCTAAACAGGGACAGTCTCCACTCGATATTCGAACCAGGGCATATGCAAATGCATTCAGCAACGGATACCTGGCGCAGCCCGCGTCCGTGCAGTTCAATGCACAACAGAATGCAGTTTCGGCAATGCGGGGCAAACAACCCTGGACAAAAAATCTTATCGATTCTATCATTTACTTTCTGCTCTCTCTCTCTTTCTTCCCCTCTCTATCCTGCAGTGTTATACTACAACTGGGAATCAATAACTGTAACCCTATATTACCTATCGGTATACGACTCGCCCTTAACAACCCAATATGGTTATAACATCAATAAATCGACCTAAAAATGTGTTCGTCCAACACTATTAGACTGTTAAGAGTTAAACTATATCTGAAAGAGGGCAGGAAATGAAAATTCTTATTTCAGCACAAGAGTTTCATTCTCCTGTCCCTAAACGTATCGCGCGGAACAACATTCAATCAGACGACGCGTTTGCCAATATTGTTAAATCGATGTCAATAGGACCGTACGCCGAATACGAAAGACATTTTCGTGATTAAACGTTGTCTCCGCGGAAAGGACAGGATCGTGATCCCTCACGCTATCGTTCATTCGTTTTCTTCTTCTTCGTCTGGTTCTACCGTATGTATCGTCTCCGACCAATTCACGATTGTTCTCCGCTTATCAGAAGGCGGATCAGAATAAAGCCTGACAAACTTCAATCGCGCAAGTCCTATGCGAATACGTACAAGGTACGGCCGATAACGCCGTGGATAAGATTACTGACCGTGTCTGCGGCAGTGAGGTTTATTCCCAGGCCCCCGGCTCGGGTGCTCAGCAGAAAGACGAATATGTCTGCCCTGAAACATGAAACAGTCCCTCTGCAGGATCGAACAACAGGCGAACGATATTTCGTTATGTAAATTAATTCGTAATGCTGCACTTGGTGGATTTCCACTGCTAAATTGCCCAAGGTGTGAACACCTATCGCGTTCGTTTGATTTTACGACTCGATTCGAATTACACCGTCCCTGTTAACTCGTGTCACAATTTCAACGTTTGAATAAAATACTTATTGGATCACCTAAATCCGACGTTGATAATTACGTTAAGAATATTAACCAGACCTTTACCCGTGGAGAAAGTATCGAGCGCGATAATACGATCACGAAGCATAATTATTGTTTATCATTTATATTTCGTAATCGTAAAAGTTGAAAACTAAGGTACGCCGATGTACGTTGAGATACGGCGACAAGGCCGAAACACGCTGACGTACGACAGTTATTTGGAATCATGTATTCGAAGTAGGTAGGCAAAGCCCGACAGCAGCTGTCTATGAGACAGGGTCGATTCGCCAATTAATTCGCGTGTTGGTTATGCGCGAGCGAGCTAAGGAACGACATGCTAAGAGGCCGCCGCCGCGGTTCAAACATGCGAACCCGATGCAAAGTCGATACATATTCTAAACAACGGGTCAAGAATAAAATTCATTCGATTTATTAACGATCTATTTCAAATAAAACGGTAAACGACGCTCGTTTAGATGGAGAGATATTAAAATAAGTTCACCGGATAGGCGATTACACGGGAGATATTTACGAGTTAACAACGAGTTTCTCGAGACTTTCGTGTTATATGAAAAAAAAAAAAAAAGAAAAAGAAAAAGAAAACATATAACGAGGGCATTACCTTTTCTGAAAGTCTGCGACCATGTCTCGCCGATCAGAGATCTTCGAAGAACCGTCTAATCTCATAAAAGTATGTTTTCTGTGATACATGTATTCCTGGAACATAAGTATACAGTGCAATATCTTGTAAGAATTTGATGATTTCTGGTTAAACGAATCAAAATACCTCTAACAAATCTATCATTTTGGTCATCTGAGAATAAATGAGCACACGATGACCCTGTTCTTTGAGACGTCGCAGAAGACTGTCCAATACTGAAAGTTTACCGGCATCTGTCACCAACGTTTGTTTATCTGTAATGATATCACGTCTATGTAAGTATATCGTATAAAACAACGAAAGGATATTGTACATTCCGAGAATGGATACTGTTAACAGAACTTGCCTGGTACTATAATATTCGACCATCCATTAATAGGTGTACACGCAGATATTCCACCTTGTGATTCAACAGAGAACGTTGACGTTGTCTGCGTTATACGAAAACTGGAGGTCTCTTGTGATGATGGAATAGAAAGGGCTCGCTCGCAACCGAGCCACAAAAGCCGTTGACCGAATTTCCCACCGCATTCCTCGTGTCTCTTCCATGCGCATGCTGCGGCACTATTACTAACATACAATTTTCGAGGACTAGCTTGAACCTGAAATTAGTTATCAATTTGTTAAAATGAATATTCATCGCACGATAGTTGTTGCGAAATATTCAACCGACCTTAGGATAACTATCGCAAATAAAGGATGGAATGGTAGTCTGTTGACAAAGTCTCATTATCGGTGGTCTTGGTAGGTGTGGATGCTCTGGAAGCAAGGTCAGCTTCGAGTCTTCTTGCTCTGCTTTGATAGATGGAATTATTCTCTGCAAAGAGAAACCACACGTGTATCTGACCATTTTATTCTTCGAGTAACGATGGACAGTAATAATCAATGAAAATTCTGTACCTTCAACGATGGATTAGCAGTCTTCTTACTGCTACGTAGAATTCGATGAGCAACAGTTTCAGGCATTGAATGAATAGCGTGTGTCGTATGCGTATATACAGGCTCTCCCTTCATAATCTTCCTTGTGAAAATCAAATCCTGGAATGTCTGCGAGGAAGAGTCGATTTTCCTGGAGAATAGAAACATTTGGTTCCTAGGAATTTCCGTCTTCTCGTCAACATTCCAATCTTCCCAGTGACGCGCCATTTTTGTTCTTCTCTCCATTAAAGTTGCAAGACATAATCTATAGGGCCATGATAAAATAAATATCTGGATACATTACATATAATTTAATATAAAAGTGTTGTATACCTAAATAAAATACCAATGACAAACACTTTATTCATTTCCATTGGGGACAAGTTTATAAATCTACTAAATGAAAACGGATTCTGGGTGGAACTTCCGTTGTCTTCGTGAAGAATTCGATGTATATATTCGGTAGCAAATATAAACAGCTTATTGTAAAGCATATGATCTTTAGATGGCAACGAAAGATGCAGCAGTCCCGCCGTATACAATAACGCTGGCATTTCATAAAATTCTGTGTGCATAAAGAACGGAGATCTAGCGTCTCTGCGCTCAAAAAGTTCTGGATGATTGCAAACCTAGAATTAAAGATTTATATTAGCTTATATGAAAATAAAACCTAATTGAATGAATGTATAAAATGGCACATACCTTCCGGAATTGCATGACTAGATTCATAAGATTTGACGTGAAATTTTTATCGTTGGTCGCAGTATCACCGCCACCCACCGTATAATGTAATAAATCTTCTATTCTAATCTTCTTCTTTAATGCTGCAAAACAAAACGGTTAATGTAATACCATTAAAGGTATCATAATCCCATAACAATTACAAGTCAAACACTTGCCTGAATAAAGTAACTTCTGTCTTGTAGTCAGAGGGCAATAAACCATCACTTCTATTTTATCTGACAATTCATTCTCTACATCCTTCTTTATTCTTCGCAACATGAAAGGTTTCAGAATCATGTGCAATCTTGATAAATGTTCTGCAAGGAATATATAAATATGTAATTTCCGGTATTATTAACGCAAACAATTTACAGAATATAGACCCATACTCTCGTCAATCCCCGTTTTATTTTCAGCATGGCTTTCAATATCTTTGGAAAACCATTCATTGAATTCATCATGGGAGTCGAACAAAGTGGGCATTATGAAATGCAACAGCGCCCATAATTCTGCCATGCTGTTTTGAATTGGTGTACCACTGAGTAACAATCTATTACGACAACTAAACCCAAGCAACAATTTCCACCTCATACTGCAAAGAGGGAGCATTGTAATATCATATTTCTTTAAGAAACCCAAAGCAGAGAATAAGCACCAACCTGCTGGTACTTTTTATAGCCTGTGCTTCGTCTAAGATCATATACTGCCATTTTATCCTGTTAAAGTATTTATAATCAGTAATAACTAATTGATAACTAGTAATCACAACGTGAAACGAAGCCTCTTTCGTGTGCAAGTCTTTAGTGTCCCAAAATCGTCTCAATATCTTGCGTTCCTGGGGATTACCCCAATATGGTACCACTTTAAACATTGGCACGAATCGTGCCATTTCCTGCTGCCAATTGTGTAACGTTGAAGCTGGCGATATAATTAAAAATGGTCCCCATACAGCTAAAAAGAAATATAAATGTACAGTTTAAATTATTCGTACGAGAACTTCAATCTGAAAGAACTTACAGTATGTTTCAGCGACATGGCATAAAAACGCTATAGACTGCACAGTTTTTCCCAAACCCATTTCATCCGCCAAAATTCCACTGATTCCCTAAGAAAGTACCAAATATATTTTAATGTAAGTTTGATCCACATACAAATTTAGATTTTGTATAATATGTTGTTCAATGTAAGCCAACCTGATCATATAAATTAGCTAGCCAATTCATTCCTTTCAATTGGTAACCTTTCAGGTTTCCTTTGAAAATCGCAGGCTGTGGGTGTTCCAAATTTTCGGGAGTATCACTAAGTCGTAATTCTTGAGACGCAGCTGCGGTATCAAATTGCTTTGCTCTAGCTTTCTCATTATCAAACGCTTCAGTAGCATTCCGTTTCGCTCTCTGCTTCATAGTTTCGCTATAGTTGAAGAAATGCAGAATATATAAGAATGAAAACACAATCTAGGATCCAAGCAGTCTTCTGTTAGAAACTTTACCTATCATAATCATCAATTCCGACAAGTCTTGGATTTTTCTCTTCGTCTAATTGATTTAAAATTCTCAACTGTTCTTCGGGAGAAGCTTTCCCCAATTTTCGGGACATAAAGTGGGCATACAATTCGGTTTGCGTTATAAGGAAATTCAGTTTTCTTTGCTGTCGCTTTGCCTCGATGAGCTCTACATCCATTTTTCTTTGTTCTTCAGCCTCTTTTTCTAATCTTCTTCTCGTTTCACGTTCGACGCGATCATAACGTTTCCAGTACGATTGCATTTCCCTTGTAAGACGTTTTGCTCTCCATATGGTTTCCTTCATATTCTTTTGTGACTGTAAAGATGAAGAAAAGTGTTAGAATTCTTTAAAGTATCATGAAATGCGTACAGACCATTGTCAATACAAGAATACTAACTTGCATAGCCTTTTGCCTCCAATATTTCATGCAATGCTGTGCTACTTTCTTACAACTAATTAACATTTCCTTATGATTATTGGTTTTCGCTCTTTGTACTTTTCCCAGTTCTTTCTTAGACATCATCACCCAGATCTTTCTCCTCCTCATCGCCATTACTTCTGGACTTTTATTATTATGCTTCTTTCTCCCACGTTGCCGCGGTTGGTGACGCATTATTGCTTCCAATTCAGCTTCATCTAATTCTTCTTCCCTAGGCATTGTACGATCCCATTCTTCGTCCGGATATTCCCCTTCCTGAAAATTATATATAAAATTATTTTAACTGTACAGAGTACTGATGAAATTTCCGATTTCTACACATACAGGGTAATCATCAGCTTGTCTATGACGAGGAATTTTTTCCTTTTTGATCTTTATGACTTTTTTCTCAGGTTTCTTTTCTTTTTTCTTTTTATTCCCAACTATTAACTTTTGATGTTCTAAAAATCTGTCATAGTTTGACAACAAGCCAGCACTGTAGTACTGGTACTGTATATTCTAAAAATAAAAATTCAATGTTCATATTAACTCTATTCACTTAATTAATTCTAACTTAAAGTTTTATTTTACCTCTGGTTTCTGATAGAAACGACCCTGGTATTTTTTTCTGAGTATGTGAAACTTTAACATGTCCTGAAAATCTTCTTCTGTAACAGGACTATCTGTATCAGATCCTGATGCTGAGCTATCTGATGAATCACTTAAAAGAATGTCCTGCAACCATCTCCGTTCCTCTCCCACACTCGACATATTATAGAGCCTCAATTTATTAATTCTCTCCTCTGTAAGATTAATTATTATTACATAAGTAAACAAGTAAAAATTTAGCTTCAAAATACTGAAACAGTTTGCACACCTTCTTTTCGAATCAGTACACTATCAAGATAAGTGTCCGACCCTTCAGATGATTCCGATGATATAGATTTGTCATCCTCACTGGAAGAATTGATTAACATAATAAATGTTTGTATCCTTCAATTTCTATCTTATTAACTATTAAAATGGTACCTAGCTGGATCTTGGAATAACTCATTGATTTGCCGCAAGAAGGGTTGTACATTGAGGCTACGCTCCAATCTTTGCAAATGCAAAGGAGCAGCCATTTCTGCTTCCAACCTCATTGTGTATGCCCTATCTGTCATTACCAGTTTCTACAAAATTCAACAACCTACAATAATAAAAAAAAAAGATACTATAAAGAATGGTCATTCAAAAGCTTTATTAATGTTAAAAACAACCTTCCTCATATTCTTTTTATTATATTACATAAAGTATGTCTAACGCAAAAGAAAAACTTATTTAAGGATGCAAGCTTTATCAAATGAATTAAACAAAACAATTCATTAAAAGTAATATTATTGACAGGCCAGTTGTCAAGGTAACAAATACATTGTCTGTAGGATGTACAAACCTAATATGACTCTGTGATTATTTTGACATTTCATTAAACATGTTAAACGACTGTGTTGATGCATATTACACGGGCGACTGGAAATTTTTTACTTAATTTGTGCATAACGTGTAGCGAAATAAATAAACGTCTATCTTGCGCTCTGATTAGTAAAGCATATAGGATTTGCTCCTTACTACATTGCCACAATGCTAGATTGTTTTTTCGTGTTTCCTGTAACGGGCAATACATGTTAAAGGCGTGTGATCGCCGTATGGAATCGTGTGTAACCAATTACATTATATAAGGCGAATGACACGATGAATCGAGCTGGTGCGGTTATAATTTTCGCGAAATATTCGATAGTTTTGAATCACCTTCGGTTTGGTTAGAAGTAGCCCCACTTATTTAGCACGTAAGATAGGGTCGACCGCGAGGAAATGATTCCCTTTGCTCACATCGAAATTGGGTGTATCGGTCGCAGGGAAATACATAGTAGAAAGAAGCCTAGAGAACGCAGACATTTGGCGTGCCATAAAACCAGGGCAGGGATAGGGCATATTGTTGGCCACCATTTTTGTTTTCAATAGGTGGCGCCAGACTAGCCAACTTATAGCCATCAACGGCTTTACTAACGTTTTCATTGTTGACCAACGAATTCTATTGTTATATAGTTGCAAATTTATATGCAACAATCATCCTACATATTATTATATTGAATGAACTCGATCTTTTTCACATATTACAGAGCAATTTATGTTTTAATCATAAATGTTCATGATTATTTGCTTGAGAACAAAGTACCGAGGCAAATAAACATTCATAACTTAATTGTTATAGTAAGTATTTGTTAATTTTGTACTGTGATTTCCTATTACATTATCGAAATTACATTCAAACAGAGAAATCTTGCTAAATTTCATATTATATTATAAAGAGTATTTTACAAATACAGTTTATAATTTTAATTTTCCCGCTTGATGCGACTGCGCAAATTTCTCTCGAACCCGAATTGTATTCTGCAAGCATTAAATATTTGCCCGGCATTATGGATAAAAGTTATTAACAAGTACAGCAAAATTACAATAGCAAAAGCTTAATTGAAAAACAAATATTCATTGTGTTTAACGTTTCAAAAATAATTAATATGTAATTTATTCGTCACGCGATCTTTAGGAGGGAAGGAATAACAGTGTATAATAGAACGTTGTAGAGATTATTATTATATAGAATATGTTACTCGTAAAAGTAATATATTTTTCATACTGGCTAGTTTCATTTAAATTAACACAGGTACCGTAATTTGTATTAAAGTATTATAAATGTTTTATATTGGGCGTCTGTCGTCGAGAGTTAGAGAGGCAACGACTTTATTTTCGGTTGTGTGAACCCCGTTTTGTTTCCGTTACTGCAGCGAGCCATCTTATTCCAGACGCCGATCATTACTTCTTGTAGTAAATTCAGTGGTATCGTGTCGTCAAACAACATTAGGTTTTTAGTGGACGAAACAACGTTGTTTTACGTGTATTCAGGTAAGTTTGTAAACACATTCATTTAGTCCTTGATACTGCGTACATTTACCGAATAGTAAATTCTTTACGAATACATCATTTTACGGATAAAATAGCCAGGCCGACCTGCAACGAGTGTTCTTAGCTTCCCTTGTCACGGCGTGTTATAATCTGAAGCTACAGACTATCTATTTTGTTGTCATTTTGATGGAACTTGTTTATTATAAATATTCTATATCATATCTATATTAATGACGTGGCAATAACTTTTGATGTTTTACGTCATACAGACGCTTTCCCGCAGAACTTTTTATGGTCATTAGACATGTGACGCAATTAATGATGTACTTTGATTCTTCGCATAAGTAATAAATGACTTTTAATGTTTAACTTCGATATTAATTAATACTGTTTGCGCAACATCGTGTTATTAACTTTCAAGATATTTCCTCAAGTGGCGGCAATAGTCGACAAATGTCGTCGTACAATACATATTTAGAATTGTTTTTGTATTAGGTTGATGCATCTTCAAAATGTATAGGTATCTTCATGTTTTTTTTTTTATTTGTGTGTATAAGTATAATGCCGCGTGCTCGTGAAAAACTGCGATAAGCAATCTCACGACCGCCATTTTATGAAACGAGTATCCAACAAAAGGGATACACTCTATCGTTCCGTTGAAACATTGCATTATTTGCACAGAGTTCCATTTATTCGTTAAATACAAATAGTGTTGTACAGTTAAGAATGGGAAGCAAAGTAATCATAAGGAATTGGGTATCGTTTGGTTTTAGTCCTTAAAGAAGTATAAAACGAAAACAATCTATTTAAGCTGTGAATGGTACGTTGTTTGACGTGGACTTTAACCAGGTCACCAAACAACGTAACCAAAGTAATTGAATAAATTGCGGCTGTTTACGCACAAATGGAGTTTTATCAATTAATTTACGTTAAACATTCTATAATATAGAGATTCGATAATAACAAGTCTTTAAAGATTAATGCTACGATATCATCAGATTCTGAAGAAAATTTGAATATAATACTTTGTTTATTGAAAATTGTTTTGTGTTTGCTTTTTTAAGTTTTTTGTTGACAACATCAGAAATATTTTGTACTATTTGAGTAAAGTACAATCATTGAACTCTATATACTTGGAAAGATAAGAGTACGGAAAACCCTAGATGAGCCGCGGTCGAAATAGAGTTATTTCGAAGATATCGCTCGGTACCTTTCCTTTCCTTTCCTTTCCTCTACTTACTATCCTGTAGCAAATTTGGGTATAGGCAGATATAGATGCAACTGTACATCCAGAAAAGTTGTGTGTAAGAGTGAAGTAGAGATACTTCTTACCCAGTGTTCTCTGTCTAATAGGCCGGCGATATCTCTAATACTCACAGTTATCGTTCCAGGTGTAGAGTTCAATGAGTACAACACACACACACACACACACACACACACACACACACACACACACACACACACACACACGCACGCACGCACGCACACACGCACACACGTATATATATATGTTTAAATTTACAGTTGATGGAAAGTATGTAGTACAGCCATACAAGTTCTGACATTCGTGTTACTTGACTTTTTTTTTGTTTTGTTTCCATCAACTATAAATTTTTCTTTTTTATTTAAAATATTGCAACTATAGTGGTCGCAGAGATGTGTAGCGTGGTCAGAAAGTCAGTTATGCAGTAAATATGTTCCGAGTGTCGGATCAGCGATTTGAAAAATAACGAAAGAAATGTGGAGCAAAATACTTCAGATTTTTTTTTGTTCTTGTTCAGTTTTTTCAAATATTAAACAGAACTGCAGGCAGTCTTCTGTTTTATTGCTTGGAATATCCTACAGCTGCAAACCGTATAATACGGCCTAGAGTGAAGCTACATTAATCGGTGCTGCTGGTCGAAGCGTGTTAATTTACGACCACGCTATATCTCTACGAGGACTATACCGAGTACGCCTGACACTTTACATTCATTTCATTTTTCTGTAAACACGTTTTTGGCTGAGTAAGCATGAAGGCATAAACACATTAGAGCATATATAATACAATAGTGATTCATAGCCTATTGATGTAGTCTAAACATTGAAACACCTTAATTGAAATGTATATACATACAACTCTTTTTGTTACAAGTGCATGAGATGTGCTTAATATTAAACAAATACCTTGCCTTAAAGTAGTATGTAATGTTTGTAAAGCTCTGAAAAAAATAAGTATAACATATTTACTCGGTACATTGCAACAATTTTTTTTCACGTTTATGAGATACTGTCTTTTTTTTTTTAAGTAATCACTGCTACTTCGAATATTGTGATGCTTCTATTGTTTTTATGTGTATGCAATTATTAACACTAAATAATTTCAAAGCGAGTAATATTGTTTACATATCCACATTTTTTGTTGAAATAAACAGCATGTCTCTGTTCCTTTTCCTATCATTACAATGATTGCAACAAACTTAAATTTATGCTCAATGCATCAATCTTGTATCATCATTGTTTTGATGTCCTGCAATTTGAATGTGTTGTATGCAGTGATTAATAAAGGTTTTAGAATGAATAAAACATCGCTTGATTTAGCTATAATCTCGTAGTTTCTTGTTTTAAGGGCACTTCTTCATTGCACTTGTGACTTGTTTTGATCAATTTATCCACAGTATGAACTGCAATATAAAAGGCAATCTTTTAATATTAGAACCTCGAATCCTTGATATTTGTCTTGTCGATCGAGGTCACTTTAAAAATATGAATTAATAATCGCTAATATCCGTTTTCATGAGTTGCATTGCAATTCTCAGCCAGAATGATTGGAAAAATATAACGTAAACAGTTCTTATGTTGTCATGTGACTAAAAAACGGCAGGTTCTTAAGGAAGCCTGTTATGTATGGTGTTTTTATATTTTCCTTTAAGAATGAGCACCCGAGTATTCGTTGGTGGATTAACATACCGGGTGAGAGAGCGCGACCTTGAGAAGTTCTTCCGGAAATATGGTAGAATCAAGGAGGTCGCTATGAAGAATGGATTTGCCTTTGTGGTAAGTCTAATGTGGTTCAATTGTTTTTTTTACAGTATGGTAGGGACAAGGGTCTATGTCGGTGGGCTTCCATACGGCACCAGGGATAGAGACCTTGAGAGATTTTTCAGAGGCTACGGTCGATTCCGTGATGTCCTCATCAAGAATGGTTACGGCTTTGTTGTAAGTACTTGTACGAAATTCTACATACACCCCTAACACTTTGCTGTACTCCATTTGGTCCTGTATTATTTAAACAATTGTCAACAACGTTCAGATGTTTCCAAATATTGCAAGTTCAAACGAATTTACAACCTGACGAATAAGTACTTGTTTATCTAAAACTTAATTGTGGACCAAAGCGTGTAGAGTTTAAAGTGTTCCATTTTGAAAATAACTCAAACTCTTGAGTTGATGTGACCTACCTTGAGCCCTGAACACATTGGTACTGTGGCTGCTTAATGGAGATGTGTGCTGGTTTTCATCGATTAATCTACAAAATGTTTGTAAGTTACACTTAATCAAAGAGAAATTCTGTTACAAGTAACCGACATCTAATTGCTTAGTATTTCACAGGTGAACAAACCGATCACAATGGTACAGAACAGTATCATATATAATAGAAATGTCTCTTCTATATTAATTCTTCCGAGATGATATATATATGTGTGTGTGTGTGTGTGTGTGTGAGAGTGAGTGAGTGAGTGAGTGAGTGAGTGTGTGCGTGCGTGCGCGTGTGTGTGTGTGTGTGTGTGTGTGTAAATGCAATGGAATTTTATCCAACTAGATACCTCTCGTACAATACGAAATGAAAATGAAATTAATAATCAAATTACTTTTCCAAACACACGCGTGATTTGACTGCGATTGCATATTATACCAGATTCATAATTGCTCAAACGCATAAGTGTTACACTAGCTGTCCTCTGTAACTGTTAGCGAGAAATATTAAGAAAAAAAACACGAATGATATAAGATTCTGCTGCATGTAAAAACTAAAATTGACCCATTATGCGTTGATATTTACCAACAATGTTCTGTTCGCAGGAGTTCGATGACTATAGGGATGCCGATGATGCTGTCTACGAGCTCAATGGAAAGGAGCTGCTAGGAGAAAGGTATGCGTACTATTTTGTTGATATGTACGTTTCATACATACAGATACAAACGCATATGTTAGGAGAATGGTGTAGGTAGCATGTTTTGCATGTTTAGTTTCTTTTCCACAGTTCATCTGATTTGTGGATTATCAATCCACTTTCAAAATAATTTAATAATATTATTGGTACCAGGCTAAGGAGTACCATTCAAACTTGTAGTCCCTAATTATACCTTTTTTTAGGATATTTGAAGTGATATGCAATTAATAAAAGTTACAAGGATGAAGTTTCAAATGTTTATAAAGTGCAATATTAGCATTCCTACTCAACATGTATAATTGTATCTTACCGAGTATGTGTCAAATTTTAAGTATTTTATCCTACTCATGAAAGTTATGAAAATTTTGTTAACGTTGCACATAAGTAGGGGGCTGTTTATGAGAAGCAATAGCATTGACAATATGTTTAACTTCCCTTTATTAATGTATTATTGAGTGAAGTGCTTTCGTTCTAGACGTTTCCTAGATATATTTGTATTTCTAATTAAAGGCATCATAGAATATTATTGATTGTAAAAAGAGACGATATAATTATAAAATTTAAATTTGCCTGTATATAATTCACGATTAGTGTAATTTGTGTGAATAAGTCACTGGTATAACAACGAATAATATGTCCATTCAGATTTTTTTTTATTTATAACTCGATTTTCAATAAATAAATTTTCTACGCATTTTCAAAACTATTCAATTTCGTTTGAATATTTTCTCTAGTACCAGTAATATTATCTGCTGTTGCTTCTGTATAATTTTGAATTGCTGAATATGTACAAACACTTTTTTTTTTCATTTCTATTGCCTTTACGTTAATAACGCATTCAATGAACGGCGTCTGTCCTCCAAATTATCGATTGGATTTGTTCTGGAATAAAAGTGCATCTTACTTAAATAGCCGATGTGACTTGCCGCCATTTTGAACTACTTCCATCAATTCCCCGATCGTGAACTGCCTATACGTGTATTAAATACTTCTGTAAAGAATGCCTCAGCATTTTAAAAGTAATGTATATTGCTTCTTCAAAAAAAAAGAGAGAGAGAGAGAGAGTGAAAAATACGTTAAGTAGAAAAAAAAGAAAGTACGTACGTGACAAATAAGATTTTCTATAATTCTCTGGTGATCGTTCTCGATGTTAACCGATTCTCTTTATGTGTTCCGAAAGAACCGAAAGATACGTACATAAAGATCCCCAGTCAATTATATGAAAATCTATCCACAGCAAAACAAAAAAAACGTGTTACACTTAGATTGGTGAATAAGTTGCGCGTGTTAATATGGAGACAGCAACTATAGCGAAATTAGAGAGTGGGAATAATGAAGACGAGCGTGAGAGGGGACAGCGCCTCAGAGGCTGGACTGATGAGGATGATGATGATGATGATAATGATGATGATGATAATGATGATCATGATGATAGATAAGGCGCGAGGCGGATGATGATATTTGAACGGATTTCGAGAGGAGGCTGAGGAATGGAAAAGAAAAAGGAAGGAAGGAAGCACCTTTAGAGTAAGAATTAGTCGAGGACTTAGGCGGGGTTTTGTTGGGTGTGTTTCAGAGTGGCGGTGGAGATAGCACGGGGTGTTTCAGGGAGGCGAGGCGACCGTGGCTACGGACGCTCACGCTCCTGGAGAGACAAGTAAGCATATCCAATGTGTCTTGTTACAGAATTACTGTAGAGAGGGCCCGGGGGACACCTAGGGGTAGTGACCAGTGGCGCTATGGTGACTCCCGTGGTGGTTATGGGGACTCGAGGCGATCTGCGTAAGACACGCTATCCTTTTTTTTATTTTATCAGAGCGATCATTATCCCCACCTCCCCTGATGGCAATCAACTTGAGATGTGCAAAATCTACTGAATATCAAAGATTAATTGTTCTCGTTATATCTCACATGCTAATCATCCCAAAGGAATTTTATAAGTAATATATTTTTATCTTTACAAAGATAATTGAAATAGTGTGAATGTTTAATTTAAAAAAGAAACATAATGTGGTACAGATGATGATTTTGCATATCGCCCGTACAGGGAAGAACGTAACCTTGGATATGATGAGCTCTAGATTAGAGAGCGCGTGAGAATAAAAAAAAGCTTTGCCTTTTTCGCAAACCACGAAAAAGTCTATCCAGGCACGCACGCCGATTTTTTCTCTAATTAGTTCTCTCGAATTGGTTGTCTTGGATTTGACTGCTCTCCCGAGTACGTCGAATTTAATATGATGAATCCAGAGCATCGCAAGCTGAGATAAACGCAGAAAAAATCTCTCTAACCGTCATTACCGAGATAGCATAATGCCTAGTGAATAATAATAACCCTCCCACAGACATTATGTTGTGATAATTACTGGTAGTTGAGAGAGGTGACCGAACGAATGTAATTGGCGACTAATAGATGTGTGGTATTATGTTTGTTACAGCCGAGACGATATGCGGCACGACAGGTACGCTATTGCTGCATTTTGAGTAGATTTGATTCGATTGGAACAGGTGATTGATTGTGTGCCTGAGCAATGAGTGCAGATCTGTAGTTATTTGCTGAAAGGTTTAACCATCGAACCGTTATTTCTGTTCACATAACATCCCTTTTTGCAGAGATAGTGTGAACAGAAACACAAGGACTGCATCTAGCTACAAGCAATCATTGCCCAGGTACATACATCCAATGTTACGCTCTAACGATACGTCTACTTAACTTATTCAACTTAAATTATCATTTCAATTTCTCAAATTAAATTATTTGCGTTTTACAATTCTTATTAAAGTTTTTGATCTTATTCTATATACATTTACATAAGCATATAATAAAGTCAGGTCCAAGACAAACCTGCATCTATTTTAGTTATTCAAGCGAAATAATACAAATGTTTTTCCTTTTGTAGATACGGACCACCCACACGCACCGAGTACCGCCTCACCGTGGAAAATCTGTCGAGCCGGGTCAGCTGGCAGGTAAGCAATATCTGTACCCTTGCTTTCATCGTTTGCATTATCGAGTGACGATAACTTTTTTCGTGAGTTTGATTGCTACTCGAGGTTCCAATGAAAGAAAAAAAATATGAATACAATAGAGAAAAAAAGAATCGTATGCGGGTGTATACATCACGTTTCCTCTAGTTGGCGATTTTATTCTTCTTCCGCCGCTTTCGTATCCCCGAGTCGAACCAAACTTACCAACCGCGGCATTTTACGTATCGTACTGTTTTTTTTTATTAAATTTTTCTTTCGTCATTTTAAGTTCGTTTACTCATCCAAACTCTTCTATTCTGAGTACTGACAAAAAAAAAAAAGAAAGATGTACATTTTGATCAAGTAAGTCTATGGCATATTCGAAATTTTTATCGTTAACACGCCCGCCAAACGAGACAAAAAAGTATATGAAAATTCATGAAAAATAGGAGAATGGCGGGCATAAGGAGAGATTAAAAAGGTGCAAAAAAAGCTGGGATGAGTAGAGAGCAGTGATGAAAACTGGACATGAGAATTTCGAAAGTGCGAATTTTAGCCATGAAGAGAAACTCGATGATACGGACTCCAGAAATCGAAGCTGCTTTGGAAGAAGAGGTGCGAGAACGGAAAAGAGAGAGAGAGAGAGACATGAAGTGTAACGAACGAAGGAGAAGACACAGGGACACACATACACACACAGCTGAGAGAGATTGACGAAGGGCAATCTGGGAATGTACGGGAAAACTATGTGGGAAATACCAGGACGCACTGCATCTTTCGAAACCTTTGATCAGAATACAATATATAAATATGTATATATATAAACATATACATAACATCAATCAATGCCAACGAAAATTAAAGCAGACAGAAATATCTCTGCCACATAAAAAGGTGGACCAAGTCTTACTTGATCAATATACATTAATTATATATATATATGTATATATATATATATATATACATAATCGTCTATCGTGCTTTTCGGATGATTGGTTGTCTCTTTTGATGAAAACGAATTATTCTCGATCAGTCAGATTATATCTCAAATTCCTTCGACGTGTTCCTTTTTCAATTTATTATTTCATTTACGTTCGGCCAACAGTTGAGGAAAAACAATAAAATTGATGTTCTTTCCGAAGAGCCATGTCCTCTTCGCCGTGGAGGGGCGACCGGTAGGGCCAATAGACTGATGATGTGCGATGATAAAGATGACGATGCACGCGATGGGCCCGCCTTATGGTCAAGTGGCACCAGGTTGGTTTCTGAGGTGTCCCGGGTGAGAGAGATAGCCGCGTGGCACTGGGTACACCTACCACCTACCGCCTACTACTACTTGCGCAGTGATACGTGGTGAAACCCAGTGACAATCCCAGTGACCGATAGGTTCTTACCGTATCTGCGATCCATTCATCGGTGATCGCTGTGGAGAGAAAAACGTCTGCCTTCTACGAATCATCAATGACTCTGACCTGTCTCTGGATATCTGACTCTGCCACTATCGTCATCGACATTTCGCCTCTATCCCATACCCAGATGTTATCCATCCTGTATACAAATACACATATTACACGTCCATTTAACTACTGCCATACCTTACATGCATCCAATCACGAAAGACAGTCAACACATGACACACTATGACCATCACCAGCAAAGTCATATATCTATACATATATATATCATTTCCCAAAGCATCCTCTGTCTCAAAATACATATTTCCATGTAACTATCTGCTATCACATTTATTGCTACACCACCGAGACTGTTACTGCTACTGGTATGCCACCAACCTAGCCATCTAGTAAGTCAGGCAGCGGCCACCCATGAGGGCATACACGGGCCGAAACCCGAACCATCCGCGACTACGCCACACAGATCCGTTCGACCCGACCAAGCGCCGTTGTGTCTGGCCTTTCTCTCTGTCCGTAAGCAAGGTGGTGCCTGGGCCCAAGGTAAATGCGTCACCTTAACCGAGTGTACTCTTTAGATATATACATTATATCTATTATATATCTCTATATACACATACACACTTGTAATAACCTTGTTCTCATTTATTGTTACATTGTTGTGTATATATATTTATATACAAACGCAAACACACACACACACACACACACACACACACACATATATATATATATATATATCTGTGGTAACTGTGCACCGTAGTGGTCAGGTGTTTTTATATATATATATATCGTAGATTTATTGATATCAATTCACGACGAGCTTGAAGAGACCGTGGACCACGCGGGTAAAACCAGTACCAGAGAGGACCAGTTTAACGATACAGTAGTACAATTGTATAATATATATATATATATATATATATATATAAACTGTGCTCGAAATTAGGCATCCACGTTCGTGTTTGAATTCCATATTTCGAATTTTTCTTCAGTCATTAATAAAGTTGCAGTCGCGTTTTGAAGAACCATGAAGATATGTATCCACTCCGCTTCTCGCATATTTCACCTTATAGTAGCACGCGTTAAAATTTGCATTGAAACAGAAAAAAAAGTTTACAAGTTACGAATGAACGAAAAAGAATAAACAACTTTTCTTTATGTAAAGCAATTCCATCGTGTCATGTGTTCTGTTTCTATTCTTTTCGGTGTTCAGAAGTGAAAGTACCCAAGGGTAGAGGTTTTGTTCGGTAATCAAAACGTTTTTCCAGTTCCGTTGGATCGGTCAAGCTCCCAGGTGTTCACGTAATTATTTTCACGATCTGGACACACGATTGCAACCAACCAGTGGATCACCGAACGAATTTTTGAGAAAAATGGTGTTACGGAGAGATGATGAATTTAAGAAGAGACATCAAGATCAAAGCACAGAGTGAGAGAGAGAGAAAGAAAGTAGCAACACGCATGCACCTAACAAGAGTAGTCTACCAACTATAAAGCCGTACCTGGTTCCCACAAATACAAGTCCCGCCGAAGAATGAAATGGATACCACAAATACAGACAGACACGGATCCTAAAGATTTTCAGGAAGACGTTAACAAGCACAACGATCAAGAAATCGTAGAGGAAACGCAGCAGGAAATCATAAGGAATTTCGAACCTTTCAGATGCTTCTACACACCCTGACAATAACGAAGAAATAGTTTGTGGTTTTCAACTTCTTACGAATTGATTCAACTTCTTCAGTCAACGACTTGGCAGCAGCAACACTTTTCGGTGTTCCCCATCGGTCTGAGCTCTTTAGGGAATTCTTTTTTTTTCTCTTCTTTTTTTACCAGTTAGTCATCTTTACCTGTACACATATTACTCTTACTTTTGTGCCAGCATTGAAATACAAGTTTTTGTCATAGTAAGAACTTTAGACAGACATTTTTTTCAGCACGCGATGATTACCAATCATTTTATCATACTTTACATTGAGCTTAAAAACGAGCAACTTTATCTTTTCTCCCTGCCTTATGCAGTTCCATCTTTTCAACGGTCGATATTGTTTCTTATCGAACCGCGAAACCTTGTTGTTTATTTATATTTCGAAGGAAAGAATTGATTCAGATTTCTTTTTTAATGTGTTTGTTATACTGATGTCAACATTTGGCGTTCTATCTTCTAATGATACTCTGGCTATTGTGAGCTGCTCTGCAGAAATATTTTTATATAGAATAATCTGGGCAAATATTACTTACAAAACGATAGTTTGTATCTAAATAGTAATTATTGTTTCCATAATATTCTGTGACACACATTTTTCTGCAGGGTGGAGGTGTTTCACTTGACTAACCACTATACTTGTTTTAAAGATTGAATTGCATAAAAAGAAAGGTTGCATCAATCGCAGATACTAAATTCGAGCACATATTTCCAACGGTAGTAATCGACACCGAAGATCTGGAACAGACAGGACATTCCTTGGCTTTTTTTTCCAGTAAGGATAATAGAGTCTCGAGCATAAATATTCACAAGGAGAGAAGGATATATTTTGTAGGACAGATATAGTGAATCTAAAAAAATGTGCACAGGAATACATGCTACTTTAACCTCTGCGTTTAATCTTAGTATAGGAACACAAATTAGTATAATTCATAACGTGAATATTAATCGTATATTATAATGATTAATTGTAAGATTTAAGTATGTACCTCATCATTGCAATATATTAATTCGTTTTCTTGTGTGATGCTCAGGATTTGAAGGATTATATGAGACAGGCTGGAGAAGTGACATATGCAGATGCACACAAGCAGCGCAGGAATGAGGGGTGAGTTTGCATTTAATAAAATCACATTCTGATGTACACTTTGTGCCAGGGATACTGTGGTACTAGTATTATTTATTTAATGTTGCAGAGTTGTAGAGTTTGCAACATACTCGGATTTGAAGAACGCTATTGACAAATTGGATGATACAGAACTGAATGGACGCAGGATCAGACTTATAGAAGACAAAAGACGTGGTCGTCGCTCAAGGTCATCAAGCTCCAGATCAAGGTCACGATCACGATCCCGATCCCGCCGCCGATCTCGCTCTCGCTCAAGGTATTGTCAGGGGACGGACAGTGTCTCCAATTATTATTTACTTTTAACTTAATTCGTGGCATACTAACATACTATTATAGATTCCAAATGTATCGCTGTTTTGTTTTTCCCACTTACTACTTCATTTGGTGCTCGTTGCTACGATAGAAATTTTGTTCATCATGCATAGGACAATGATTCGCGTTAAATAATGTAGGAAATCGGGGTTTTTTTTCTATAAAAAACAATTTTTTACCCTTTGGATTACCGAAACAAAGAATTTTATCTACAAATGACAAACTTACTGTACCAGTCTCATGTTTGAAGTGATTAGGTAATTTTTTAAGCGATTTAAAAAATTGTCTGACGAGAATATTTTTCTTTTGTGTTAGGAGTCGTCGCAGCTCTCGAAGCCGCAGTCGTCGCAGCAGTCGCTCCAAATCAAGGGGGCCACATTCTAAATCTAAATCAAAGTCCAAATCCAAATCCCCCGAGCGTAGTCGCTCTCGTTCCAAATCCAAGTGAGTATCCCGTTCCGTGGATTATCTGTGATTTATTTAATTGACAATCTATTTCATTACCATTATTTTGATTGTTTTATTTATTTGCTTTGTTTCTTGCGCAATTTTATCAATGATTTAACCATATCGTATTATATATGCCACACGTTCACGCCCCCATGTGTTAATGTTGGCCTTGTGTTTGGGCTCGTTCACAAAAGTGCCTCTCTCCGCTTTATTCACGTTTCTACGCGAGACATTATTTTTTTGTTTTTCTCATTCCATTTACAAGTCAAAGATTGAAAAACAAGTTTTCATTGTGTGTTTCCTCGTATATTTTTCTGTCTCCTTCATTTGAACTATAATTTTACAGATCAAGAGACCGCTCAAAGTCGAAATCTAAGTCAAAGTCCAAATCCAGATCTCGTTCTAGGTCCAAGGCCGAGAGGTCAAAGTCCAGGTCGCAGTCCAAATCCAAAGCCAAGTCTCCCTCGAAGTGAGTTCAATCGATATAATTAGCGCAAGACAAGCAAATCCGTAATCGTCCGTTTAAATCAGTTTTTTTTACAGAGATAGATCTAGTCGTGAACGATCCAGAGGCGCCAGATCAAGATCCCGATCAGGCAGCAAACATAGCAAAAGTCGCAGCCGTTCACGTTCACCAATGAACGGAGACAAATCACCAGAAAGTAACAAGCTGAAGGCTGATTAAAAGAAGTGAATGGAACACAATTGACAAAGGAGAACTCAACAAGAAGGAGGAATTTACGGGAGCGAAACTTGAAAGAGTTTTTCTTCTCTTTAGTTTCCTTTTATTTTTTCTACATTATAAAAAATACATTCAAGAAGCCAGTTTCATACCTTGTTTTACGACGTCGATTCTTCATGTGACAATTACTTGTAATTAATGTATTACACACACGCGTACACACACACAACGTCGTTTTACGATAAGAGAAATTCAGAAATCCTATTTGAGGATGAAAACGATTGAGAGAAATGTGACTCGAAAGAATGTAATTTAATGATCGGCTTAAGAATAATTAATTGTACATGGTTTACTTATTCGAACCAATCTGGTACGTTGGTTTCACCTGGTTTTAATTGTACACATCCCCATTGGAAAACCACTACTCTCGCATTTAGAGAAATAAGATTGTCTTCATACGTACCTTAAGCGGACTCTACACGTTTTCGATGTATCGCCGTATATCGAGGAATTCCCTGTAATGGCTTTTTGTATATATTCCTAACAATCACATTACAATGAGGAAATATATGTGATGTGTATATTAAATTTAGCGGTAAGAGGTATCTTATTATCAATAAAAATTCATGCCAAGCCTACTGCATCGTATTTTGTTTATATTCTGATAAGAATCTCATTGAAGTCGCTGCGTGGTATAAGTACTTAGGTGTTGATGTGGGATAGATTCCGTGTACGCAATTTAATGTTGAATCGACTGCAGTACTTCAAAGACCGTAGCTGAACCAGGTCTGTGAAAGAAACTTACTGCTTAATGTATACCGCCCTTGGTGTGCTGCATCTTTAATACTAAACCTACCAAACCCTTCAAAGAGGTAGAAATTAGTACGCTAAAACCGGTCGTGGTAGGTTAGTTTTAAATTATCATTCTCAAGTATACGTCATCGAAGCCAACGTGAAGTGGCTCGAAATCTTCCATCTCTTGTTCGACAACCGTATACCTTCAACCTGTCAATAGGTTAGCAACGCTTCTCTTTCAAATGCACGGCTCCTTGCTACTTCGGTAGACGGATAAACGATCTTTAACGAATGTCGCGATGTCGGGATTCCACATGTCAGAAAAATGAAATGCCGAAGTCGTTGCAAGGGACCGAGGATGCAGAGTTCGTCTGGAGTATGATATTGGAGAGATTTCCGAACGCTGCGCCACTCCTCTTTGAGATGGAGGCGGTGGTCGATCGCGCTGAAGATCTTCTTCAGCAACTACGGGCACCTTGTCAACGCGAGATCGGTTTGTTTGTCACAGTAAATTAACGATGACCTTTTAACTGCGAAGACCGTCTACGGACGTCAGACGATCTTTGCTCGATATTATGGTCAACTAGTTATGAAAGTAAGGCAGAGTGACGCCCGCTGTAAATTGATAGACAGTAAAATTCTTTTATACACTATTTCTCGATGTCCACTCGCTTCTTAAATAATGAAGACACGATGATAAGTGGACTACACGGATTATTCATGAAAATACAGATTTTAAAAGTCCATTAGGTTCCAAATGAAAGACCTCGTGTCAATATTCGCTAACAACGTTGTCTTGTTAACCGGTCAAACTACATATTTTAGAAACCTCCACCTCCTTTTGCACACCTGACTCAGAAGATTCGACCATACTAATTTCCGCGAGGGAATCGTCTACGGAGAACAATGTAGGTATTCAACGTACATACAATTTAATATCCACCAACTGCTGGACCGACTCGACCGGGAATATTGTTTATTCAAGAATGTAGAGGGCGGTATCAAAAGCATCACGAGTATAATACAGGTTTCGGAATGTAACGTGTACGGGGCAGACGTGAATTCGAACGATCCCAGTCAGAATTCTGTTCTTCGAGATCTAGAGGATGACAGACAATCGAACGACACGGTGCAATGTTCGTCCGCTGAGAAATACTCGACCGCTGAAGGATCTGCTTCTTCAAATGCTGACGCATGTCTGTGGGATTCTATTTAAGGGTTTTGAGTAGGATTCCCTCTTTTCTGTTTTTTTTTAAATGATTATTCGATAATCGTTGCGTTCGTGCAGACGCCGAGCAAAGGGCAAAGGAGGCACGTAGTTTAGAGGAGTGGGAGAAAGTAGTGGATCATGCACTGAAGAAATCGTCAGGTAATGGGGATCATTGATGAAACAGTAAATACACTCCCGTGTTTAGAGTCTACAGTCACTCTCGAACTAATTTTGGATATTTTTTTCTATCATTTTCCCTTAAATGTCCCAGTATTCACTGTTTTTTTAAGTAGATCGTAGAACCACAATTTTGAATGGTACATCAGAACGAACGTGCTTCTCTTTATGCTTTATTAATCTGATCTTCAGCGAAGGATCGTTCTTGGGACGATGCAATCGGTGACGATAGAAAGTGTATCAAGTGCAAAGAACACAGGCGAGACGCAGCAGATGGTATTCTGATTCCGCAATGATCAAATTGAATTACGGTTTATGCTCGAAATTACTTTATTTGGTTAATGGCGAATGGTTCTTTCAGACGGTGAGAAATCTTGCGTTATTCTGCACCGGACAGAATCACAGACCGACTTTGGTGACTCCACGGCCAAGAATGTATCGGACCAAGATGCGAGGAGCCAAAAACCGGCTAGAACTAAAGATGATAATGTAAATGATTCTCTTAAAAGAATGAACTGCCAGTAATCTTCTAATGGACTTGTTGTACGTAGCTCGAATGATGAATGGAAATTGATTAAAGGGTAACGGCGACGAGACTTCGACGAAAACCACGGAACAACGGACGCCGGTGCGTATCCTCGAGGAATACGCGAAACGCTGCAAGATTCCGATCGTGTATCAGTGCATAGATGACGGACCTCGTCGCCGCAGGCCAAACGCACATGTGATACGCGGCAGTCTCGGCGGATACGTCGGTAATTTTTGCCAAAGCTACAGACTTTTTACCGTCGGGTACAATCGATTCGTCCGTTTCCATTTCACGAATGTTTTTTTGCGTACACGTATTTACACGTTTAATTCACCAGCAACCGCTCGAGGCGAGAGCGAAGAGTCCGCTAAAAACAACCTAGCCACGACGATACTGCGAATGATTTCGAATCAGCAGATGAATGACGAGAAACCATCCGCTCTCGTGGATCTCTCGAAAGAGGAGTACGTACCAAGTGGTATCCACGCACCTTTCGTTAAAGTGATTACATACCTTATGAAAACTGATCGCGATTTGATTTCGTAGAATCCTGGAAATAATCGGTCTCGGCGTGGAGAGCCCAAGAGAAACGGCACAGAGAAAACTGTACCAGACCTGTCTGGAGCAGGATTCTCCACTTCCGACCTACACCGTCGAGAAAGTGAAAACATTCAAGGGTTTGGCTTATGTTGCTACCTGTTCCGCGTTAGGTTACACCACCGAAGGTATCTTTATCATTGTCGATTTTCCGAAACGAAACTCTGCTTTCCATAATCGCTATCTTCGCCTATTTTTCCCCAAGGTCTGGGTGTAACGGAACGCGTCGCTAAAAAGTCAGCCGCGGACGAACTCTACCGACGTTACTGCGAGGATCAGCGGTCAATCTTGAAGGTAAAAGTCTGTAATTTCTTGCACGCCCAATCCCCCGTTCCGTTGCGTACAGAAATATGTCTATGGGATCTTCGCGACTATCCAAGGTAGTTTTCCGGTTTTCTTGAAGGACCAGTAATCATAGAGTAGCTTGCCAATGATCAGGAATATCAGAAGAGCTAATATGATATTCAGAACGTCCAGAGGATGCACCAGTGGGTCCTCGTCCGGTGACGTGCAGATCTCTGTGCGCGTCAAGTCTCTTATCTTCAAGAGAAAACAGAATGTTAAACGTTTCCCGGACGTTCGAACATTTCGTGGGAACATTTTCACTTACAATTTTATCAGAGTTGTCGTTTCCGTATATCGGTAAACACCTAATGTCGTTCACGTCCTTCACGAGACTCGTGTATCTGATCAGGAGTTCCTGAAATATGTAAATTGATTTCAGAGGCTCGTACGACTGTCGAGTAGCCAACGAGCCTATACCATTTTTTTTGTTCATTAGTTCATTATACGTATATAAAACGTTACCTGAAAGCTGGGCGTGAAAAGACAATCGCATCGCCATGGATTGTTACCGAGATACAGGCTCACCGCATTTCCATTGTGCTGTAACGCGTTCTCCAGAGCGTACGTGGGCAGCTGAAACAGTAGCAGCAGAGAGTGATCATCTTTTAAGCGTTTAAATCCTAATTAGCATGCCAAGTCCACCGACTGTAAATCCTCCAGTTCAACGGACCAACGTTCTGTCGAAGATTCAACTCATTTATCTATCAGTATTATTCCTTCATTGAACCTGGGGGTTTGCACCGCGGTTGGGCTGGGTTGGATCAAAAGTAGGATTCGATCAGGTTGAGGTTACGGTCTGGATAAGACCAAACGATAATTCCTAATTTTCCCGTCCAATTTTTGTGTTCCAGTAAGCGCGAAACAGGATTACTAACATCGGTCAGCCTATTCCCGCGAAGACTGAGTAACCGGAAACGGTCCACCCAACTCGATCCCTCCAGCTGAACGATCGTCTCGATCTGATTATTGTCCAGATAGAGGTCTATCACTCCTCTATATGCAGGATTCGTCGTGAGTGGCGTCAGATCGTGTATCTACAATAACATCATTTGGTACCAGATGAAATTCTGTAAAAAAAAAAATAGAGACACACCAGACCAAAATGAATAAGAGGATAATGTAAGGACCTTGTTTTCAGTCAAACGAAGGGTGGTTGTATTCGCCGGTAGAAAACCAGGCATCTCCGTCAATCCTCGATCGCTGCAGTTCACCGAAACAAAGGCCATCAGTTGCCTCTGAATGTGTTTCCCGCCTTGACCGACAACGTACACCAACTCGCACACGCACACCGTCCTCTTGCACTCTTCCTTCAGTGTCTGAAACGGAAAATTCTCCGGATAGAATGTTCGTTCTAACGAGCTGACATTGCAAAATAATAAATCAATAATATATAGAATGTATGTAACGATGCTGACTTTGATTATTTCCACGACTTGGACCAACGGTCTGCCTTCATAAGGGGCCGAACAACGAAGATTCTCTTTGTCGGCGATCTTGCGACTCGGTGAACCCTTCGTCTGGTCGAGTATCCACTTTGTTCTTTCGGTGCACTTCAACGGATTACCTTGATCGACGGATATCGCATTGTACTTGCAACGAAATGGGAAAATAGCCCTGATAAAAATGCTGGTTTGTTTAATCTTACCGGAAAGATACACGTCACGTAAGGAAGGAAGATCGAGCGTTTTAACGTTCACCTCTTGGATACTGTTGTTCCTTAGATCGAGCGTTTTCAAGCTCGACAGGTTGGAGAAAACGTGCTCGGGGAGTTCTCGTAGCTTGGTCCCGGTCATTTTGATATTCTGTAGAGTGAACGGGAAATTTGTATATTTGAACGTTAATATTGTATTTCCATTTTGTTTTCTATATTGCGTCGAACATTTCTTTTTCTTTTTGTCTTTTGCATATGGCGACCAACAGAAACCACTGTACATACCTCTATCAGTCGTGTTTCCGATGGAAATGTCGACGCGAGCATAGTCAAGCTGCTGTTCACGATAGCCAATTTCCGCAACGAAGAAAACCCGTGCAACGTGATTTCCGGATTGAACGTCTCCAGGGACCAGTGACAGAGGACCAAAGTACGCACGGCCTCGCCCCTGAACAGCCACGTTTAAATGTATCGTAGATACGTATTGTTTCTTTGGGTTTTTTTTTAATACTCGTTAGTAAAGTGAACCCGTAATAATCACCCGGATTTCCACTTGTCGTCGAGGCTGTGAAAGCAAACGAGCAGGTGATCGTTTTCGATGAAATCACACTTGTCGATTGTCGCGTTCAATCGCCCGTGACCCAAGTAGCAGTTCTCTTCGCTCGCGGACGAGACTTGCAAGCTTGGAAGCAAGACCACTGCCCTGTTTGGTAGAACATCTCTGTTACCGTTAACCGCGTATATTTCGAATGTGCGAACATGTCCGTATATTATACCCACGTGCATTCGTATTAATAAACACTAATTGCACCTATTTATGAAATAAATGTATCATCTTGTCCCTTACTGTATTTAGAGACTTACTAGTGTTATCCGTTTCAATCGTACAGACACGTCACATTGGCAGATGGACATAATCTATCACATCCATCCTCTTTGCCTGATTACAAATTCAAATACACAATCATCGAAATCAGCTACCGGTGGTGCTATCTAATCTCTCAGAATTTAATTCCTCCGCATACACGGAAGTATTTACCAACGCCTTTCGCGGCATAGTTTCATGGTCTGTGCAAATAATCGCGATCCTACCACTGCTTATCTAATCAATGTCCGCTATGAATTTTCTATTATTCGACCGGTTTTTCGTGAAGATCGATCGAATTTCTGACCGCGTTCGTTCAAAAAGACGGTCATATAAGTTTTGAAGACTACGCAAGAGGAAACTCATTTTTCCTTCTGTGTGTTGGAGTTTGTTTTTATCTATTATTTACCCGACTGATTCTGAATATTCGCGCAAACATCCGACTTCAAAGAGTCTGTCCCGGCGTGGCGCGAATTGATCGACAAGTTTTATGGAAATATCGTATTCGTCGTTTCATGGATCGCCGAAAAAAAGCAACAACCGAATAGCGCGATCGTTTCTTTGAAATTCGAAAGTGTGGAGGAACACAGCTATGAGCAATGGAGAAACATTACTTACAGGAGGACAAGGCTAAACGTCGACCGCATTTTCGTCTGATCTTTCGATCGGTATTATATCAAGGAATAATCAATAATAAACGAATTGAACTCTATACAGAAGTTAAAAGTCTCACGGATTTGACATCGATCTTTCAATTGTTACACGGACGATCGATCCGTTAGGAAGTAAGAAACAACACATTCGCGCGATGCACAAGCCTCAACTGGGGAACTGGCGATGCTAATAAGAAAATCGAAGCTGGTCCTCGTCTCTCGCTGGATGATCGACTAAGACGGTACCAGGGTTTAAATGGAAAAGAACATATTGCAGAATACAGGCGCAGACGCAGAAATACAATTTACACTGTGTATTAATGCACGTTCCGTTAATCAGGTATTATTTGAACGGGGAAATGCAGCGATTCGATTTCGTCCATGCGACTGATCCTGGAATCCCAACAGAAAATAGTGTTGACTAAATGATTCAATTGATCTAGAACATTAAGACAGTTATCAATCTATGGAGCGACCTAATAGCATCAGATTAACTTGGTTAGAATATAGTCAATTAACAGGACAAAAACTGATAAAACAAAAACAACTTTCTGTTTCTCACAATACTGTATATAATTTAATCAAATGATACGGTTATTTTCTACGTAGATTTCAAGGAAACCAGTAAAGTGCAATCGGGCGTGCTGCCCGTACATGCCCGTACGAGCAAGTGGCGGGCAGCCGCGGATTCCTGTGGAGGCGATGCGAGGCAGGAAATATCACGACATATTTTTTTATTGGGATTTCTTGACACTTTCCGCACATTTTAATCTAAAGTAGAGTATCTTTCTTTTTATTCAAAGAAGATAGAAGCAACCTGATCGTGTCTCAGATACGCGAAAACGGTGCCTTTATATTAAGTAGTATTTAACACGATTGTTATTAAATTTATACAAATATCATTGTAAATTGTATATCTTTTTTACGATTTTTCAAAGCATGCGCAAGAGACCCCTTGTGTGCGAGAAAGTGGGGCCATAGAACCCCTGGAACATGTACCAGAGACCGCGTGTGGTGAGAACGTGGGGTCATCGAGCCCTCAGTGGAGGCGCCATAGACCCTCCACGTGAGAGCGTGGGGTCACGGAGGCCCCAGTGGAGGCGACAATGATCACGTGGGGTCACGGAGCCCCCGATGGTGGTGCCATAGACCCTGCGCGGTGAGAGCTTGGGCAGGTTTGTCCTGTTGAATTGAGACGTACGTCACTAGCGCGTTGGACCGACGGAGAGCACCGATACCACGGCACGTTCTATATGATATAAAATATTTAATTTCCGGTGGCGCCATCCGTGGCGATTCGCTGAAACTGCTAGCCATATAATTGGTTAGCAGTTTCACCGATTCGCCACGGATGGCGCCACCGGTCAAAAAATATAGCGGTATTCCGCAATTAAATGCGATTTTGACAGTGTTCTGGTTGTTTATTGTTATTATCAATAACAGTGGGTTAATCTACGTACTTTCAGCTACAAATTGAGTGCTTCAGCTAACCGAAAGCTGTCCGTATAACGGTGTAAGAGCTGTCCAAATTGAACTAAACGTGGTACGCATGACGAAATACAATGTCACCGTTGCAAATGAATGTGGTTTTAACAATGTTCTTGTAATTACTGGTTCCCAGCCGTTAGAGAGTATTATTCTACGTTCTTTAATTTTCGAATTTAATGCGTGACGAAGAAAAATGATGCCCGTTCTCACAAGTACTAGTTTCTAACTT